ATTAGACATCAGGAGGCACTACTTCACTGTCAGGGTGTCTAGGATCTGGAACCAACTTCCAAGTGAAGTGGTGCTGGCTCCTACCCTGGGGGTCTTTAAGACAAGGCTCGACAATCACCTTGGTGGGGTTGTTTGACCCCAGTACTCTTTCCTGCTATGGCAGGGGGTTGGACTTGATGATCTGCTCAGGTCCCTTCCAACCCTACTAACTATGAAACTATACCAAGCTGTGTAAGCATATCTCCAGTATTTTCTGAAACTGAAAAAAGGCTTTGCCCAAGTTGTTTGGCAGTTTGTTTCACTTACCAAACAGAAATATTAAACATTTCTATTCTGAAATACAATGTAATAACTGAAACAAGATCGTTAATATGTTTTATCCAGTGACCATCTAACATAAGCTATAAAAAAAAAAAAAAAATCCTTTGAATAGGGCTGAAACCCAATATCCTCCATTTTCAGACAAGTACCTGGGATACACCAAGCTAGAGTCTTTCACCCTCTCTCTCTCTGACCTAATTAATCTTTAATTCTTTTCTACTGGAATAAGAGCAGCTCTACCCAAGAACAGCCTTTAGCCTGGCAGTTAAGTAATGTGGATCTGAATTCTTTCAGCCAGAGATAGGACTTAACCACTGAGCTATTAAATCAAGGGAGGCTACCATAGCCACATCCTCCTGCCCTTCTCTCCCCAATTCTCCTACATATTTAAAGAAATGGACAGGGTCAGATCCAGGGGGTGTATGGTAGTATTGTCAATTCACCATCAAGAGTTCCAGTCGTGGCCGTTGGATGCACATGCATCACCATCCCTCCCTCCCTACACCTCTTTCATCATCCTGGATCTGCTACTAGACAAGAGTGGTCCATGCTTAAAAGAAGAAAGGCTTCTGCCACTCCCTGCAGGAGAAGGAGCTGGGCTGTGAATGCCAAGCAAACACTTCCTCATCTCCTGGTAATGGCAAGTAAGACACTTAACCCCAAAGAAGGTGGCATTTATCATGCAACTCTCTACTCAGCACTTCCTTACGGGCTAGCTAAGGCAGTTCCATGTCCAGCATGCTGTTTGCTCTGGACCCCATTCTAATTTCTCCTCATGTATTACAAAGGAAGCAAGACACCCAGCTCACTGCTCTGGATTCTATGTGGGGACTTAAGCCCATTTTAGGATCTCTCTGTGTCTCAGTTCTTGTTCCCCTACCAACTGATAAATGTTGAAATTAATGTATAGGAGCAGAGAAAATTAAGACTAAAGTGCTTGCACGGTGCTGATTATAGTAATATTGAAATATAAGAGATAAATAAACATATTTTCTGAATGCCAAGTGGAGGAAAACACTTTCAAATATGAACCACTGCAGTGCTTCCTTAACAGAGCTACAGGTGTTGTTTCAAATTGACATAACTAAGAACATTTTATGTTGACATTAACAACTATCAACAGCAAGCAGCCAAAGGCCTACAAGAAGTGTCAGTTATCTCAATCTACTGATATATTAAGATAAGTATTTTCCAAGGTCAACTCAGATATCAACATTAACAGTATCTGACTATTAACCCTTTTAGCAAAACCATCCAGCCTAAAATTATGGGACAATGATACTGTAATTTAAACCAATGATCTAAACCCTATTTTTTTAAACGTTAACCATCATAAAAATGCACTACACAATTTTAAATTTTAAGCCTGAGATGGTTAAAACAGTTTTGTTTTAGAAAACAAATTAATTTTAGAAAAAAATATACCTTCTTTCCCTTTATGTTTCACATTCTTTAATCTTGCACAATGAGGAAATGCAAACATTATTGGCAGCTGACACAGCAGTACGAAACACATAATCATAGTCGGTATCTGTTGGATGGAAAGAGTTAATAATAGTTAGAAACTCTGAAGTGTTAGTGGTATAGTTTAAATTATTCCATAATGCAGTTATCTGACACAAGTCCCCACAAGCAACTTGGATTAGCTTTTCCCTACAAGTAGAACTCCTATCCAAACTGGTTCTACACGTATTTAATTTTGATTGCATAATGAGTCCTACACGAGCAGTCATTAGGATTTGAACTTGGGGCCTTTAATATGGAAACACAATCTGCTTGTCTTCCAGAAGTAACTCCATTAGCTGGCAGACATGGGAGGTGATTAGTAATGCTGGATGCTGTCCTGTTTGCCAGTTTGTGGCAAGTGCGCACAGAAATTTCTAACAAGGATCTCTCTACCAGACAGACTGAAGCCTTGTGCAAGTCTTACTGATTGCTTTGATCTATACATACAGGAAGCACCTTGTCCAGTGATGAAAAACTCATCACTTGGACAGGAGACAGCTGCTGTTTACCAACATGCACACAGCTGCATTCATCTGTATTCAGACACTCAACTGTACTCTGTTTAGGGCACAATTGTAATGCTCTAGCCCAATGCATTTACAGTCTAAATAATTCTAGGATAAAGGCAGGGCAGCACCTTGGAGATTAACTCACTAAGAAAGAGTGACTGGACAGCTTTTGTATGCGACAACCTGCTTTGTCAGATGTATGATGATGCATCTGATGATGCATGCAGTTGATTAGGTGAGTTTTTGCCTTTCTGAACAAGTTAAATGCTAAGGTGCAACCCTGTACTGCCTCCTGCCTGACTTTAGTGGTGCACTTCATGGACTCCCAACACCTGCCCTTTCTGTAAGCAGAGGAAGACCCTGGTGCAAGCCTACCTGGTATGCACCAGGCTACAGCCCCTTCTTCACATCCACTAGAACCTCCTGTTGAGGTTCTGGCTCCACTACTCCCCACACCTTTTTGTTTACACACTCCCTATCTGCAGCCCCACCAAGTCCCAGGACCTCTTGGTCAACCTCCTCCTGGCCCTGTTTAAGTTCACTGTCTATCTGACCAGGAAGGAGGCTCTGGCCAGAAGGACCCTGGGGACTGTGGTGCCATTTTCCTGTCCCTTGTTCATTCACATCACTGGGCAAAGTTTCAAGGGGCAGTGGTCACTGGCTCCTTGGACTTTCTTGAGGGCCATTGGGCACTGTCCAGTGTGCTTTGCTTAGTGTCTCCCCTTGGTGCTCTCATTATGAACCTATGATCCTCACTCCTTCCTCTGTTTTTCTTTTATTCATCCCAAGAAATTTCATAGATTTCATAGACATTAGGGCTGGAAGGAACCTGATAAGATCATCAGGTCCAGCCCCCTGCCCAAGGGACAGGAAGTCAGCTAGGGTCAAAGGATCTCATAGAGATAAGCAGCCAAATGTTTCTTAAGTGTCCAGAGTAGGTGCTTGCACCACCACTGGGGGGAGTCTGTTCCAGGCCTTGGGGCCTCAGACAGCAAAGAAGTTTTTCCTTAAGTCCAGCCTAAAATGGTCTTGCAGGAATTTGTGACCTTAGGACCTTGGCATCCCCTGGGGTGCTCTGGTGAACAGGTGTTCCCGCAGATCCTGATTCACACCCCTTATGTACTTATAGGCTGCCACCACATTGCCCCTAAGCCTGTGTTTCTCCAGGCTGACGAGTCCCATAGCTTGCAGTCTCTCTTCATAAGGCTTATTCTCTTGCCCTCTTATCAATCAGTTGTTATATCCCTCAGTGGCCTCCTTCTTAAGGAAGGCTTATAGTTTTAGGTGGTGGGCCTAAGCCCACACTTCCCTAGTGGCATAACAAACAAGCCTGCCTGACTTCAACAGCATGCTTCACAGCCTCCCCCAACACCTGCCCTTTCTAAGAGCAGAGGGAGACCCTAGTGCATGCCTACCTGGAGCGTACCATACTGCAGCCCCTTCACAACCTCATTCAGAACCTCCTACTGAGTTTCTGGCTACAAGGGAGGCTTTTGTTTGCCTTGGGCTTAGACCCAAGTTCCCTGGCACATCAAACAGGCCTGCCTGATTTTAGGCTAACGCATCTAACTCCCTTATACAAGGATGCAAGACACCGCTTCAGATTCTCTGCTTAGAAGCCTTCCGAGATGCCCTTGGGAAACAGATGTGATGCTGATTAAATGGTGGGGTCCAGTTTCTGTGAGGCTAACTTGAAGATCTCGAACACATAACATATTAAAAATAAACACACTTGCTGCCCTGGGAGAGGCTAGAATGCATCTCTCCGGCCCAAAGCCTGGGCCTGATTCCTTGAGGGGTGCCCGGAGGTGCCGCTGCCACCGACCCCTGGCCAGAGCCCCAGGCGTGCTCGTGTAAGAGCTCTGCAAGGAAAGGCAGCAGCCGCCCGAGTCCCCCGAGTGCTGCAGCACTGCTCCCCCGGCTGGAGCTGGACAGCAGGGAGGCAGCGGCAGCCTCAGCCCACGAGCCAGCGCTCCCCACCTTCCCTCCCGGGGACTCACCCACCAGCTCCTGCGAGGCTGCTGCTCAGAGACACCACCCGGCCGGGGAGCAGACTCGACTGATCCTACTCCCGCTTCCTCCTCCGCTTTGCTTCCTGCAGAGGGAGCGGCCGGGATCACATGCTCCGCGCTGACACACCTGGGGCCGCCCAGAACCAGCCCCACAGCCCGGCGGTTTGCTCAGCCCGCAGCGCCTCGGACGGGCGCCTGGGGCGAGCCGCCGGGCTGCCATCAGTCTTGCTGGGGGGAGCTGAGGGAGCCCCTTTCCGTCCCCGCCCTCACGGAGCGAAGCCCTTTCGCTCGGGGATGTGCGGCTGCTGGGAGCGCAGATCTCCTTCTCTCACCCAATCCCGGTAGCGGGGAGCCGTGGAAAACACTGGGAGGAGAAAACAGGTGGACGCCTTCTGGGACGGGACAGAGCCGAGGGAATGGGAACGTCTCTGGTTCTCCATCTCCATCACTTGGAAATTTACTGAGTCTGGGCCGGGTGGCTGTTGTGCTGAACTTCCGAGAAAAGAGAGAACTGCTCATTCTAGAGCCGTCTAGTTTAAAACCTGGGTAGATCAAGTCCTGGCTGAGATAAGGTAGCTGGGGATGGGTTGGACTAGATGAGTTCCTGAGGTCCCTTCCAACCCTCATTTTTCTATGATTTCTAAGTCAGTGCTTGATCTGGCCTTACTTTTTAAATGCCCTTTCTGGCTGTATCTGCCTTTCACAGACTGCAAAACAAACAAAAAACTTTCCAATTCATTAAGTAGCGTAGGGAATGATTTGCTCAGCAGAAGTGTGGTTGATGTATTTGTAGCAGGCAGTCCTCGGACTTGCAACACAATTGGTTCCTGAAAACCGCATCTTAAGTCAAGACGTTGTAACTCAAAACCGATTTTCTCATAAGAAACAATGTTATAAATGGGGGACTGGTTCCTGAACCAAGGCCCCATACCCTATTTTCACCAGAAATACCCCAGAATGTCGTACTCGATCAATTCTGGATGAGTAATATAGCTACATTAATGTATTTCTACTGTAAATAGCAATCATATTGATTTGGAAGGACTTCTTTGAGGTGACTTTGCTGGACTTTTTGAAAGGCTCTTGGTTGGACTTTTTGAAGTGTTCTTGGTTGGAGTCTTCTCAGGGTCTTGGCTGCAGGTTTTTCTGCTTCTCAGGGGTCTTGTCTGCTTTCTTAAAGAAAGTGTCCAAGGAAATTTGGACAGATGTTCTCCAGGGAGATGAGCGATGCAGTGAACTTGTTTGCTGACTTGGCGTTGCATCAGATCAAGCGTTGTAAAGTTGAAACTGACGTCATAAAGTTGAAATAGGGTGTCAATTTATAAACGCTGTAAGTATAAAACGTAACTCAAAACGTTGTAAGTTGAGGATTGCCTGTATTCTAACTTTTAGTGCCTGATTTTGCAACTCATACGTTCTTTTAATGTTATGGATTGTGGTATGTAACTGTTTATGCAATGTACTAAGTGCCCTTGTTAGGCAACTGCATTTGTAGGTATCTAAGTATCTCTGTAAATTTGCCGCAGATTCCTTGCCTAAAATTGCTTGCACCCTAAATAAATAGATTATTTATGTATGCAGTGTTGTTTTCAGGGAGAGCAGTCAAAAGACCATTTTCTAAGAAACACATATGCACACACATCTACTAAAAGCTGTAGGAATATAGATATAAGCATCAAGTATGCTCAGAATCTGAATGTATGTAGGCGAAATAATTTACCATTTGCCAAAATAGGTCTAAAATACTTCCTTTAGATGTATTTTCTTCTATAAAGAATGTTATTGTACACAACCCCCAAAACCAAAAAAAGTCAAATTGATTTTCTATAACATAAAATAAATGAAAAGCCAGAAATTACCGCGTCACCAAACCCTATTTTGTCTTTGAAAATATGCCTCTTTAGAATTAATTTAGAGAATTCTTCCAGCCAAAAAGTGTACCTATTTATTTATCACTTTAATAAAGATATATTCTATTAATTTAGAAAACTAGAGTAGAAAATTAATTTCCCTCCCACAAACTAAATGAAGAAATAAAGAAATTAATTTTCCATTGCTATTAGACAGGTAATCCACTCCTTCACATATTAAGGACTCTTTTGGCTGGAGTCTTCTCAGGAGTCTTGGCTGCAGATTCTTCTGGTATCTTGTCTGCTTTCTTAAAGAAAGTGCCCAAGGAAGTCTGTTTGCTAGTATGGGGTTGCATCAGATCAAGCGTAAAGTCGAAACTTGACATCAGAAAGTTCATAGAATCAATGAGTCGGAAGGGACCTAGACAGATCATCTAGGCCAACCCCCTGCCATGGGCAGGAAGGAGCACTGGGGGTGGGAGGGGTCATAAGACCCCAGTCAGGTGCCTATCCAGTCTCCTCTTGAAGATTTCCAGGGAAGGTGAGAACACCACCTCTCTGGAAAATCTATTCCAGGCTCTGGCCACCCTTACAGTGAAGTAATTCTTCCTAATATCCAACCTAAACCTATCCTCCCTCAGCTTGTGGCCATTGTTTCAACCCTGTTTCAATTTTATGACATGGGTTTTGACTTTACAACGCTTGATTCGATGTGACGTCACACCAGTGAACAAGTTCGCTGTGACACTCATCTCCCTGGACAACATCTGTCCAAACTTCCTTGGACACTTTCTTTAAAAAATCAGACAAGACTTCAGAAAAACCTACAGCCAAGTCTCTTGAGAAGACTCCAACCAAGAGCCCTTCAAAAAGCCCAGCAAAGTTGCCTCAAAGAAGTCCTTCCAAATCAATATGATTGCTATTTACAATATGAATACATTAATGTAGCTATATTACTCATCTATAATTGATCGAATACAACATTCTGGGGTATTTTTGGTGAAAATAGAGTATGGGGCCTAGGTTCAGGAATAAATCCCCCATTTATAACATTTATAACATTGTTTCTGATGAGAAAATTGGTTGCAACATTTCGACTTAAGATGCAGTTTGCAGGACCCAGTTGTGTTCTAAGTCCGAGGACTGCCTGTATCTAGTAGCAGGCAAAGAAGACCATGAGCCATGTTGCAATGAAGACTGTTATTTCTTGTCCTATACTCTACAGCCAAAGAGAATCAAAGATAATACTGCTTCTGCAAGATGAGAATTGTTTAAAGGAATTATAACTCTGGTTAAACATTTTATATTATGGCATCCCCTTTTTTCCAGTGGAAAGATACTTTGTGATTATTTTATCTACTTTTCTGAAGTTCTGCAGTCTCTGGGACTAATCATTTCTGTTGCTTTTTGCTGGACTCTTGCACAGCAGAAATTAGTCCATATCTTTCTTGAAGTGTGGGGCCCAAGAGAGTACTCCAGGTGAAGTCTCACTAGTGCTGAATAGAGCAGAAGAATCACTTTGCTTGACTTGCAGGTGAGAGCTGTTAATGCAGCTTTGTATATGCTTGGCTTTTTTTTTGATTTTTTGCAAAAAGAGCATACTGTTGTTTCATTCCCAGTTTATCCTTCACCAGGACACCACCTTCTTTTCTGCAGAACTGAAATCCAGTCTGTATTTGTGCATGTGATTGCTCTGTCCCAAGTGCAGGGCTGTACTTGTCATTACTGAATTTAATTTGATTAATTTTGAACCATTTTCCAGTTTACTGAGGTCATTCTGAATCCCAATCCTATGCTACAGAGTGTCTGCAACTCCACCCAGTTTAGTGTCATTTACAAATTTGCTGCGTGCACATTCGCACTCAATCCCATCCTTCAAATCATTCATGAAGATGTTAAACGGTACCAGACCCAGGACAGACCTCTGGGGAATGTAATTTGATACCTCCCGTTTAGACATCAAGCTGCTGATAACCATTCTTTGAGCACCTTGATCCAGCTAATTATGTATCCACCTTATGGGATTTTCATCTAGACTTCATGGCTGATGGTGTCAAAAGTCCGTTAAGGTTGAGGTATATCACATTCACTGCTCTCTTCCCATCCACAAAGACTGTCACCTTGTTATAAAGGCAATCGGGTTGGTCAAGTATGACCTGCTCCTTTTGCATCCGTTTTGGTTTTTCTTGATCACCTTGCTGTCCTGTAGGTGCTTAGAAATAATTTATTTGATGACCTTTTTCCTAATCTTTCCAGATATCTAGGTCAGTCTGACTGGTCTGTAATTCCTGAGATTCTCCTTCCATTTCTTGAAAGAATACCATATTTGCTTTTTTCCCCAAGTGTCAAGCCATGGCCTCAAGCTTGGGGCCTTAGCCTGCCTAGCATAGGTGCTCGTCTTAGCCTGCTACTTCTTCAGCTGACTTTTTAAGCTGAGCAAGCCCATGAGCAACTCCCATCTGGGTCTAGCCCTCCACCTGGTCCTTGCCATTGGAGTGGCCAACCAGGGTCAACTAGCCCATCACTACCTCCCATATAAACTGGCTCAGAAGAGTCTGTGCAATGGGACTCAACAGCTATCCAGACTACCTTGTTGTTCCTTACAGTTTGTGCCTCTACCTGTTCTCTGTTTGATCTCTTGGTTACCTGACCCAGCTTGCCCTCTGATTTTGCACTCTGCCTGACCTTTCAGCTTTTCCGCAGACCCAGCTCCCTGCTTAACTTCCTGGCTACCCAGTCTGGCTCACCCTCTGACTCTGTGCTCTGCTTGACTCTCCAGCTCGGTGGGCCAGAATGGCCTAGCTCAGTGCTGCTCAATCTATCTTTTGCTGCACATTCTATCCATCCTTCATGTCAAGATAGCTTAGAATCAAATAAACTGTCTAGATTGTTTCTCAGAAAAATAAGATGAAAACCCAATTTAAACAAATTGAGGTCCCAATCTGCTGGTTGCTATATTTTCTCCACTGAAATCAATATAATTTAGACATCTCATACTGGCTCAACTCCATCAGTTGTTAAGAATAATTTTAGACGAAATGAAATGAATAGGGTATACTTGTTCTTTTTTTGGAAATGCTCAGATTTGTCTATGGCATAAGCATTGATATGAGTATTCAAAAATGTTCATTTGGAACTGGCAAAATAATATTGATAATTTGGAACAGAGGTGTCAAAAGTAGGCTATGCAGGCTCAATCCAGGCCTTATCCTGGCCTCTGGTGCTCCCCCTGGGTCTGAATTGACCCATGTGACGTGTGCTGGGCTGGCTCTACATACAGGGCCTAGGATGTGTGCCGCATGC